CCCCCTGGACCTCACCTAACCCCCACTGAACCTGGATTTTATTTCTTACATCACAAAATCAGATAATCCCTATGTAATAAACACTTATGAATCATTGCTGTGTTGCTCAACTGTCATTTCTGCATTTATTTATTTTTGCATAATTTGAATTAGAATAGAGTTATATGACAAATTGCATTGTGGGATTGTTAGCGGAAAGGTTGTTAGCTGAACTTGTTCCATTGTAGGAATCGTTCAGGGAACTATGTAGTGCATAAATTTCACACTCCAGATTCAGACACTCGAACAAAATGGAGGAGAGTAAATCATCGTTATAGTAAATATTTCAGACACAGCCAGAGTGAGTCCTGTCCATAGGTTATGTAGGTAATGTTTACATTACATAAGAATCCTCTCACATAAAGGGTGATCAGTTTAATCAGTGCAAAGTGTGAAATTGCCAAAGAAGAACAGTTGTATAATAGAGGACACGTCGAAGAGACATACTGAGATATTGCCTACGATGTATCACAAGAGAATACAGTAAATTACTGTATTGATTATTATCAGTTCTAAGTCAGAGAGGGGAGATGGGCAGTAAATTCTACATAAATATTGTTTGATTTAAAGAATTGTAATAAAAAGACATCACAGCTTCATTCATTCTGTCTGCATCTTTTTCCTTTCATTGAATCTTTCTTAAATGGCCAAAACCTCACCATTCACCTTCCACTTCAGTCTCCTCTCCTCTCCTCTCCTCTCCTCTCCTCTCCTCTCCTCTCCTCTCCCCAGAGAGTAAAGGGACAGAGAGTGGTTGCAGGTGTAGACAGGTCATCTATTTGCCTCCTAATGATGATGGATGGCAAGACTGCAGAGAGCGAGAACAGAGAGAAAAGTGGAGCGATGCAGGGAGATAAAGAAATGGCAGTGTAAGAAGACTGTTTATATTTGTCTACTGGCGGGCAGATGGTGGGAGTTTTAGTGATATGTTGATCCTCAAGTGTTATCATTCTTGTCATCTACCTGATAGCAAACAAACACACACACACACACACCTGTGTTGTGTGCTTGCAAGGTGACATCTGGTGTAGTGCATTGAGAAGCGCACTTCTGAAGACACACATGCAGACTTCCATCTCTGTCAGTCCTGACTTTTCTGTCCTGTTTACAGAAGTGTGAGAAGGTGCTGGCAATCTCTTGGGGTGTTCTTACACACACACACACACACACACATACACACTAATTTTCTCACCATCTCCACTGACAGCTTCACAAACAGTGCTGTACTCTGTTGTTGTATTTTAGTGGCATAATGAGTTTTCTAAAAATCTCCCGGTCTTTTCTTTTCTTATCATCTCCCGGTACAGATTGACAGTGTTTGTTTGGTAAACAGTAAATCACTGTTTCTCCACAGATTGGCATATTGTCTTATCATAAGGGGAATCGCCAATGCATGACAAACACTCCAAGAGATGGAGGCTATTGACTAACAAGTACATACAAGGCTTAACCACGCCATTTATAATACTATATATGTATACTATGTATGTGATGAAATAATAAATATTAGGTATTATTAGCAGCAGGGCTACAATGACTGTTATTATCACTGTCCATAAAGCTTTAGAAAATGGAATAAAAAGCCCATCACAGTCTCTCAGCTCAAGCTGAAGTCTTCAAATTGCTTGTTTTGTCTGAGCAAACTGCTGAAACCTGAGGATATTCGGTTTATAAGCATATAAAGCAGAATAAAGCAACAAATCCTCAAATCTAAGAAGCTCATACCTAAGTAAGTAAGTGTGTATGTGTATGTACAGTCCACGTCCCCCCGCAAGAGAAGCCGGGTTGTAGCTCTTTAGACGTGGTGTCGGTGCTCAATGGGAAGACACGTGTGGGGTCACAAACAATCGCATCCACCACACTACAGTTATTTTTACAGACCTCCCTTCTCTCGGCGCACCTCACCTCTCTGCTATCTCACACCTTCCCATCTCAGACGTCCAATAGGAGTGTGAATGTACACACACACACACACACACACACACAGTGGTAAAGTCTCACCCTTCCCAAAGTACAGACAAGGAGGCAGGCTGTAGCTATGGCAACCTAGAGAGAAGGGAAATGATTGGGCAAGGCTTTGGGTTTGTTAAGAGCTACTGTACGAAGCCTAGGGCGAGACTTAGTCACTCTCTCTCAATTGGTGTATGTATGTACTCGTGTGTGTTGATACAAGAGCGGGTGAGAGAAGCACAAGGAGTCAAAACTTCCTTTCCTTATTCCCCTTCCTGTCTGTCTGCCTTCTTCCTGTCCTGTTTGAGCGCTCTGTCAGTTGTCAGGCTGATATGATAGATGTGGGTGAGCACAGCATTTACTCGCTGCAGCACGCTCTATAAACCTGGTAAGTACTGCGAATTGCATTCGTTGGTTGCATACACTCGCATGCCTAATTGAATGAAATGAAACACTTCACAGGGGAGATACAAAGCAGCCGCAGGGTAGATGTGACATCAAATAGACCATATAAGCCCAATGTTTCACTAAAAGACAGGCATATGTTCACCTTTTGTCTTTCGAGGAGAACTCCCACTTTTATTACACTGGTGTCCCGTCTCTGTCAGATAGATTTGTGCCTTGTTGTAGATTTAATAAACCCTACAATATATCTTCCCATGGAAGTGTTCAGACTGATCTACCAGGAGAATTCATTGTACAAATCTAGATTTTAAAGAACTTTTATCAAGCTCAATTTAGCCATCTGTGGCTTGCTACAGCCGCTGGGCTTGACAATACATCTAGACTTCTGCATTCTGAATCTGCAATACTGTATTGAGGCATTAATAATCCTCAGGTAATAATAATCAGTCCTGAAGCTGGAACCAGTGAATGTTTGGCATTTTTCCTAGAAAATTACTGACACAGTTAATTGAATATCAGAATAGTTGTTGTTTAATTTTCTGTTGATCAAGTAATCAGTGAATTGATTAATTGTTAGTTAAAGACCATACTTATAATAGAACAGAATAACAACATAAAAGACTTACGCAAGACTCCTTTTAATGGCCACAGATACAAAACAACCTGTCAGCTATCGTAACAATAAAATAATGATATAATCTTTTTCTGCATCACATTGACCTGCTTTTATGCTGTCAACCAAAATGTTCCTTCACAACATAAAGTGCACATTTTCAAAATGGAACACAGCCAAATATGTTTCCTATGTTCTTACCTTGGTGTGTCAGCTTTTATTTGCCAGGATGTCTAAGTTTTATGCTGCATTAGTGTCAAAGGTACTTTGCACTGTCTATATGGTCCTATGTGTATATGAGTGTGTGTGTGTGTGTGTGTGTGTGTGTATATGTGTGTTCTGTTGCAGAATGGCTTAGT